TAATGGCACTCTTTACAAAACAAGTTATTTGAGTGAAAGAATGAGGGAGAGTGACACACAGAAAGCTGTTATCTGCTGATTCACTCCTCCAGTGCGTGCCGTGGCTTCAAATGGGTCCCACGTTAGAGCAGGAATTCAGGGCCAATGTCCTGGATGGGTGGCTCTCGGGATGTAGGCTGGCATGGAGGGTGACCAAAAGAAGCACCAGAGACAAGCTGGTGAGGAATGTCTGTTTATTCAATATAGATCCCAGGGTTAAAGGTTCAGGAAGGGGAAGGCAGGAGGGCTTCTTCTGGCAGACTGCCCCCCAAAGACACTGTCGTTGGCTATAAGGCACATCTCTTTCTCTTGACCTTCAGGTCATGTTCCACGTGTATTCCCCTTGACCTTCTAGCCATGTCAGAGGTCAGACTCTGCTTGTAGGCCTGGGAGCCGTGCCTCAGGCGATGGGGAAAGAAGCTCTGAGCCACGCCCACAGATAGCAGATGATTGCCCACAGGTGGCAGGAATCTAGTCACTGAAGCCATCATGGCATTTTTTCAGGGTTTTCATTTGCACAAGCTGGAATCAGGAGTAGAACTGGGTGTCACACCCCAAATACTCCAATGTGGGACATGTTCATCTTAGCCAGGAGGCCGCAGATCCATACATGAGGCATTTGCAATTGTATTTCCTCTGTTCACCATTAACAATTCTCAAAATACAAAAGCTTGTCCATTTAGAATCTTTAGAAACTAACAAGTGAAATAAGATAAGTCAGTAGCATTTCTTGAGGTCGGTCACCAAACCATGCAACCCACCCAGACTTAACTGGTAAGCAGAGAAGAAAATGTATTTCCTGCCCTCCTGGAGTTTAGTCTCATGGACATTCAACTCATATAAGTACAAAAAGTCTTATGATTATCAACAGCACCCAAATGAACATATGCTCAACAAACAGTACTACTACGTAGGTCTTGTTGAATCAGGCAACAATGACTGAAAGATTGTTTAAGCTAGCATAAATTCATAAAAGAAATTGAATGTTGAGCTAAGATTTAAAGACACACACAAAGATGGGTGAAGATGAGAAAATAAGAAAGGGTACTTCTAAAAGCAAAAGATCACAAATTATGGGACAAGTTACCTAGAATATATAGACCAAGAGGCTGAGAGTGGTTACGAGTGTTAAGGTGAAACTGGCTGACCTGCTGCCTGCAATACTGGCATCCCATATGAGCCAAGCGCTGGCCTAAGTCCTTGCTGCTGTTTCTGATCCAACTACCTGATAATATGCTTGGGGAAAACACCAAAAGATGGCCCCAGTTTGGACCCCTGACACCATATGGGAAGTCTAGATGGAGTTCAAGACCCAACACTGGGTCATTGTAACCATGTGGGGAGTCAGCTAGCAAATAGATGTCAGTTTTTCTCTCTCTTTGTAACTCTACCTTTCAAATAAATACATATTTATAAATCACTCAAAATCTTTTTGAAAACTGGGTGTGGTTTCAAGCCTTTCCTTTTGCATCTACCTACCTGCTCTGATGATGCCTCTAATCTAGATGACAGAATGTTGTCACTTCATAAAGTTCCATCCAATGTATCCTTTGTTCAGAGAGATTTTGTCTAGTCAATCTGAAATCAGATGCATCTTGTTGTTCTCCATCTGCATATTGCTTCCAAACCTCCTACCAAAATTTATACTCCTAAATTCATCATGTGTTTCCCTTACTAGCTCATTAACTGTATAGAACCCTGGCATGAATTTGTATTATTCTTTATTACTATATAAATATTGCTGACACTTAATAGATATTTGTTGAAATGGAATTATGCAATGCTTACACACATACATACATAGAAAACATCATGGACATACATGGTAATATTTTTAGCTTTACATATAAAATTAATTTCAATTTAGATCTCTTACAATTCAAAGTAAAGAATATAATGCCAATTGAATTAAGGCATGGGAATGGGTGAATTGTTGTTGGCAACAGCTCATTTAAAGTGCCTTGATACAAAAGAGAAAAAGGAGCCTCAATTTTGGGGTAGACAACAGCTGAGCACCCATAGGCGCTCATTGGTGAGTGGAACCCAGGCAGGATTTCAGCTTCCATTCCAGATGCCCTGGAAGAGGGCACAGCTTACACAGAAGTGACATCCGGAGGGGGGTGATGAGGAAAGAACAATTTGGATGATGAAATAGAACAATTTGGCTCCTCTGGGTGAGTTCCTTTGAGAAGGAGCTCATTCTCACACCTCTGATGGTTTTAGAAGAGGAAGACCTCCCAGATGGAAGACCTTTTCTCATGTTCAAGTTTGCAGATGGCTATGTTCCCCTGCTGCGGTCTTTCAAAGCTTAATTTTAGTTAATAACCCAGTGTTGATTCTTGATTCTCAAGACATTCTGCTTTCAAACTGGTTGTAGGTAAAGTTTGTAATTTCCCTTCTGGAAAAAAAATCAGAAGTTAGTCCACATTTTTAGCATTGCTTATCAACTATAGACTTATTGTATCAGAGCAATTAAGAATAACCCCAGCTATCTCATAAATGGCCCGGTGTATTGATGTTCATTAACAAGAGATGGAATCAACTCTGGCTCCCAGGTACCAAAAAGCAACCAACACAGCTCATGGGGGTTTTTGTCTGTTTTTAAAAAAGTATTTATTTATTTGAAAGGCAGAGTGATGGATAGGGAGGACTTTACTTCCAAGCATTCATTCACTGGATGACTGCAACAGCCAGGGTTGGGCCAGGATGAAGCCAGGAGCCAGAAACCCCATCCACATCTGCCATGTTTGAGGCAGGGGTCCAAGCCCTTCCCAGATGCCTCAGCATGAATGTACACTGGAAATGGAATAGTGGAGTCTCCAAGAGGCACTTGGTTATGGGATGCTGGCGTCAAAAAGCAGCGTCTTAACCCTGCACGCCACCACGCTGGCCCATAATTTCATAATCTTTTATAAACATTCTGTATCTTGAAACTTAGGGTCAGAGATTATAACATAAATAATTTTTAAACCAACATTAATTTACCTTAAAGTGTTCTTAGCTTTTTAGTACAAACCATAAAGAAGGCCTGGACTGAAACTACTCACATGAATTTATCACTTAGAGTGGGAGCTCAAACCACTGAAATATGACTATAGAAGGATTTTTCTTTTGGATAAAGAACACAAAACGGGCATTTGCATATAAAGCCTTGGAAAGCCCTCAAGTTTAGACTCTTACACTTAGTTTCCAAGCTACCTATTTAGATGAAATTATGTAAGTGATTTAACTTTAATGGGATTCATCTCAAGATTAAACAGTTTAGTGTTAAAGTGCTCACAGTTCTGACTTACTTTATATTAGTCCTCAAGAAGAATGTCATATAGAGCAAACTTTGGGAGCCAAGGTAGCGTTTATAATCACACATCTAAACATGTCAACAGTTCCTGGAAGAAATGTTATGTATGCCATTAGGGCATTCTTAAAATTACCTTTAGCAGGACTAACATTCAAACAGATTCTTCTAATGGGCCCCTCAGATGGGGAAAAACTTAGCTCAACTAGTTAAACCCAGGCCCCGGAATTATAGGGACCCAGACATAAGCTTCATCTAGCAGCCCTGACCACTTTTAGTGCAAGAAGTTTGATCTCAGCACCCACCTCAGCCATCACCAACTTTCACAGAAGCTGAGCGAATTCAGAGTTGGAGAACTGAAGCAAATCCAAATATGGTGAACACTCCTCCATTGCCAAAATGGGAAAACTGCCTTATCTCTGCATCAGAAGCCATCCACCAGGACACCAGCTCCCCTGCTAAACACCCAAATGGGGTTGCAGCACATTTTGTGTGCAAGCCCACAGAGGCTCTCACTGATGCCGGCGTGCCGGGATCCAGCAAACGTCAAGTCACGGCTCTGGATAACGTAGATTCGTTTTCAGACTCACTTTCTTGACGCAAACTTTGCCTAGCTTGGGGATTATTTGTGTACTTGGAGATATGCAGGCACCGTGTTTCTGGACGCCCGCAAAGCTGCGGCCAATTCTCCCTGCAGTGCTAACTCCTCTTTATTTACACTGCAGGGACTATCTCCCGCTTAGTGCGCGCCAGTGATTTAAACTGATGGCCGGTGTGGCGGCCGGAAGCTTCTCTCCGCCCACCTAGGGCCAGGGAACCTGCTTCCCAAGATTGGCGGCTGCAGTGTGCAGCTTAGCTACACGTGGGGGCTCTGGGAGGAGGGCGTCTTAGACCAACCTTTGGAAATGCGGGACAAACCTCTGAGAGGTTGCCTGTGGCTGAGCCCTCTCTCGGCTACCAGTCCCATGCCGCGCGCGAACGTGTCTCGCCCTGTCGGTGGCCCGCAGGGGCTGCAGCGAGGGCGGGTACCCCCTGTTCGGGACCATTTCCCAAGCAACTCAACATACTAAACATACTACTGGGAGACTCGCAGCACCTGGGATGGTCCCCTCTCATTCCGCTGCGTCTATACTAAATTCTCCCACGGAAGATCTCGAGATTCCCGTTGAAAGTCACTGAGTCCAGCGGCGTCCCTGAGGGCGAGAAACGAAAAGGGGGAACGGGGAGCTGCTCGCTGACCGCTCTAGCCACCAAGTGCATCCTCCGCCCCAGAACCAGGCTGAGGGAGGCCGCCACTGGGCCCCTCCCTTCCCACCTCCCGCGCTCCGCTCTTACTCACTTTCTCTCGGAGCCTCGGCTGGGCCGCCCTCAAGACCGGCAGTGCAAAGGTGCTGCGAGCCGGAGAGAGGGATTGGCCAGGCGGTCGCCCCTCCGGACAGCCCCGGGATCTCCCTCCTCCCCCTCCCCGACCATGCACCCTCGCCCCAAGCTGGCCTGGGGCCCCGGGCCGGGGACGCCCCCACCCGGGCGCCGCGGCCAGGCGGGCGCGCTGGGCTCCGCACCCCGAGGCTGGCTCTGGCTCGCAGGCGCCACCGGCCCACCCCCTGCGCCTCCGCCGCCGCCCCTCCCAGGCCAGCCCGGGCGGCCGCCGGGCCCCCGCGGGACG